ATCAAGGGCTGCATGCTCGTGGCCACGGAGACCTTGCAGAAAGCTATGGCCTTTTCTCAGGTTGTGCAGAACTAGCGCACGGGGAGGGGGGTGGATGTCTTAGGGTCAACAAAACCAGGCGAGAGTCAGCTAACCTTTCCAAGGACAGCTTGCAAACACTCCAGAGTTCTCTGCAAGCGGGTGGGGGCTGGGGTCGCGGGACGGTGTTTATCATTTTCAGCTGCAGCAGTGTAAGAGAAGTGTGCAGGTAGAAGTGGCCTGCCTTGGCCTGCCTTGTGGAGGCTGCAGTTTAGAGCGATCTGCAGGCCCCTGCCCCAGCTCCTATCTCACAGTCAGGCGGTCTTTGTCAGCCTGGGTTGTCCCACATCCTGCCACCTGGCCTGTCAGGAAAGCAGTGGTATTAAGTAAGGAAGGAGCTCAGCTTTTTCAGTTCTCCCTGCCTCTGATCTTTCCTTGGAAAGCCGGTCTCGTCAAGTGTCTCAGGGCAGCATTCTGGAAGAACCATTGTTCATTAGAGAGTCAGTCCTCTGGACCACATCCATTCCCCAGTGGCCCAGGTTATTGAGCAGCCAGTTACTGCTCCATTCTCATTGTCTATGGTGCTTCTTTCATTCTTGCAATTCTTTGTATAATTTTTGAATTTTTGGAGGGGTGCATTCCAAAATTCCATAAGGAATTGTTGATAAAAAGTCAGTGAGTTAACAGAAACTTAAATGTTCAGGGTAATATTGTATATTTTTGTCAATAAGGACATTACAATCACAGGTCAGAAAAATTATATTCTTTTCTCAAGTGTGGAGAAGTCCAAGTACTGGGCACTTAGACAGTGGGTCTTGATTTCCTTTAAGGATGCAATTCTGCAGGCTGTGCAAGGCTAAGCCTATGAATGAGATGGCATTTGGGCTATGGAATGTTGACATTTGCATGTCTTGCATATGGTTTACAGCTCTCACCATTTGAAAGATATTTGGGTTCAGAAGAAAATAATAGAAGTTTCAGAAAAGCAGAAAGAGGCTTCGCCTAACTGGAAAATCTTCCTATTGCCTGTTTCCACCTGGAAGAGCAGGCATTGCAACCATAGGTATGGTGCTGTGAGAATAGCAAGAGGCAGGTATTGGAAGACTGGGCTTCTAGGCAAAGTTCTGCCCCGATGGTGTGGGACCTGCGCAGGACCTGTACTTCTGTTGCCTTAGCTGCAGACTAAGGTGGTTATGTGACCTCAATAAGGGCAATAAGGTCGCCTTTGATTTTTAGCCCCAGCATCAAATATGGCCTTCTCTAGATGGCCGGACAACGCTTGTTGAGTGATGGACAGACAAATGAATGACTTAGTGAAAGAGACTTTGCCATACACAAAGGAGAAGTGTGTGTGATGTTTTTGTCCCTTCATTGTGTGTGTGTGTGTGTGGTTCTGGTATAATTTTGCCCAATTCTACCTGCAGGGAATGGTTGACATCAAAAGAGAGATTACTGTTTGACCCAGAGAATGACTTCTCCCAAACCTCATCTGGCAATCAGATCAGGAATCCTGACCCAAAACTTCTACCAGGAAACTCCTCAGAAGCACTCTTGGGGTCATTTAGGCCAACTGTCTTCAATGGCTTTAAGAGAGTCTAGACCCACCCGGGAGTGGCTTCTCTAATATTTAGGTTTTCTTTCACACTTACATCTATCTGTTCAACTTCTTTCTCAACTAGCAGCTTGCCCTGGCAAATAACATGATGCAGGAGTGGTATTAACAATTGCTGTGAAACTTTCTAGGGAATATCTTAATGCTCTGAAACCATCTTTGTCTTCATCTTGGAAATTAGGATGTATGGTGAGGCACCCTACTAAGTGCAAGTGAATGAGAGCTGGCTCTTCACACAGCTCCACACTGCAAAGATCCCAAGGTACATCAGTTCACATTATTCCACACTATTGGCGTGGGTTGTAGATGCTGGCTTTGTGCCTCTCCTCGTTCATTTGTCCTGAGTGGCCCCCTAGCTGCAATGTCTTTCCTCTTCTGCTTCCAGACTTTAATTTCCTTCTACCAGTTCATTATGTTTGAAGATTTCAGGGTGAAGGCAGGGTGGGAAATACATCTGAGTGTTGATACCTGAAAGGCGATAATAAATTTTAGCTGGCAGTTGTGTTGAAGTAATTGAGCTCCAGTGTCTGCTCTTGGAAGTGTAGAATTTAGTATTCTATTATTGTTATTATTTTGATGTTGTAAAGTTTAGTGGAGAGGTTCAGAAAGACTGCTGTTTGTTTGCTCTTAAAATTGCAAAGCATCTTGCTGGAAATAGGCTTTTTCATTGGTTATAAAACATTCAGTTTTATAACTCTTTAAAAAATATTGTAATGTATTTTATAAATAAACTCTTTATAAATATTTCTTTTTGGTGCTAAAGAGGAAACTCCAATCAGATGCCTGGACAACAGCATAAAATTGCAGGATTTTTCACAAAATATTTACTGTCTTTCCAGTATAGGGTTATTCCCCTCCTCCTCAGTACCCACTCTCCGCCTTCCTTCTCTTGTTTAGACTAATCTTTAAGAGTGATGTAACTTAAAACAGTCCAGTATGAGTTAATCTTTGGGGCCAGCTAGTATCCTGGGAGTAGAAGTGACTAAGATCTTTTGCCTACAGATTAGGGTAATGACAAGATCAAACACTGGGGTTTCCTGCAGGCAGGTATATAGGAGAGTAGATTCAAAGTCAGGCTAACGGAATGGGTTTTTTTCTTCCTCTTCAGGTATTGTGGAGCACGATGGCTGAGCAACAACTTCCTCTGGCTTTGTATTTGAGCAATATGCGGAAAGCTGTGAAGATCAGAGAGAGAACTCCAGAAGATATTTTTAAACCTACAAATGGGATCATTCATCATTTTAAATCCATGCACCGATACACACTGGAAATGTTCAGAACTTGCCAGTTTTGTCCACAATTTCGGGAGATCATCCAAAAAGCCCTCATCGACAGAAACATCCAGGCCTCCCTTGAAAGCCAGAAGAAGCTCAATTGGTGTCGAGAAGTCAGGAAGCTTGTGGCCCTGAAAACAAATGGTAAGACGAGCTTTTGTCTCGGGGGGCGGCTTCCACAGTGCTGGGTCCCCATTCACTAAATTTCAATAGACCGAACTCAAATCTCTTGAGGCCCCTTAGTATAGAAACTCAATGGGGGCAGCTGATGAAAGCAAGCTCGTTTTGTGAATATGCTCATTAAGGATATTTTCAAGTTGTGTATATTAGAGAGCAGAGCGCATTAGGGCTTGGGGAACGCATTTCTAAACACCATGCCTTTGCGAGTGACTGTGTATCTAATTCTTTTGACTGTTTAATTCAACTGTAAAATAGCCTTCCCTGGCCAGTAATGGAAATAATAAAAGACTTTAAGTTCAAAAGGACATGTTGTGAAAACTAGCATTCCTATTATTTCCCCCTGTCATTAGAAAATGCTTGTGATGATGACCTTGCACTTGAATTGATGGCATTTTATGGGTTCACCAATGAATGTCTGTTGAAGACAAGAAGAGGTTTTACTGTCTACTCCTTCCTTACCTAGGTTCTGTTGCTTATGATCCCATGATAGGAACTAGAAAGATATTTGAGATTTTTAGAGCTGATTTTAGACCTCTACAGCATTATTTTTAGACATAGTACTGAATTTCTTACTGTCTGTGCCTATCTGCCCAGTGGCCCTTTACTACTAGTAGCTGTTTCCTGTTCTAAGCTTTCCTGTTTTGTTTTTTAATTATTTCCTTTGAGCAATGTATGTACATCACAGAAACATCCGAGAATACTGTTTCATGCAGATATAAAATTCTACTTTATAGGTGTAGCTAATTATTAAAAAGCAAGTAGACTGTTCCAGATTGATTGAATGCTTATAGTCTAAGTAAGGGCAGAAATCAACAGGTCCTTAGACCGGTTACAGCCCTAAATTATCTCAATCAAAATAATACATTCATCCAAGTGCCAAAAATCCTGGTCGACAATGAGATGTTAAGAACATTAATTTAAGTAACTTAATTGGTTATATTAAGTCTGGCCATTTTTGACTTGGGTAAGTCGAGGGACATGTTTTTTTGCTTTGGTTCTGAGGGGTCTTATGCATCATCTCAACATCTTGCTTGTATTTTTTGAAACATAGATTCTTAGAAGCACAGATAGCTAGTATTTCTATTGTTCTTAGCATTAAATCAAGCGATGCATAGAAACAGGTAATTATGTTAAGTCATCATCAATGGGTTTATAGTCCTTTTTTTGTTGCAAAAAAAAGATGGAGTCAGCTTTGGGAGAGTTGGAAACAAAGAGGTTCTGCCGAATTAGAGATGTGGTAGAAAGAGGAAAACCTGGTTATCATGAAGAACATTAACTGACATTCTGAGTTTAACTTGCTCCATTTCCTTAAGGAAAAAATGGAATATAAAGAGTAAGCACCTGTTTTGCAAAAATTTGTCATTTAAATCAACAAGTTTTCACCCTACAAAGCAAACTACAAAAGCCAGTGCAGGTTTGATAACATTTTCTGGAAATAGGGATATTTAGGCTCAGAATCCTTTTGTTTCCCTCACTTTTAAGAAAATTTCTTAAAATTCTGGAAAAGGAAGAAAAGATATTTAGGGGAGAGGGGACACAAATGACTCTTCCTCTGACTTTTATCAGCATCTTTTTTTCTAAGCCTTCCACCTATAGGAGGGTTCTATAAAGTCAGTGGTCTGGGGAGGGGGTGATTCACAAGTTTGCATTTGAGGATATGAGACTGTGGTGAATGAGGAAGGGAGTAGGTGGCATAAAATTGAAACTTCATGTGAAAAATTCCAGCGTCTATTGGCTGCAGCGATTTCACTTGTATAATGAGTAGCCCTATTCCAGCTCACCCTGACCACACCCACTTGGAAAGTCCAGGGTGCACTTCGCAGTTTAAATGTCTACACACCAGAACAAAAAGTACAATAGCTGTTGCTCAATTGCTAGTCAAATAACTTAGCACTGGGGAATTCCAGATGTTACTTAGGGAATTTTATACTGGTGCATCTCAATAAAGAACTGAAAGTAAGCACAACAAGAAGAAAAAAGGTCTTATCTTTGCTCTAGATTTTGCAAAGGGGAAATTTCAACAGAATGCAATTGTTGCCACACTTCTGCCAAGATACAAGGCTTGGGCGATATTTTTCGTTCATTTGTTTGAATATTTATTTAGTTAGTTTTTATAAGTGTGTAAATTGAAGGGATATAGGCTATGGATGTGTATTTGAGGCCTTTTGTTGTTGTTGTTTTCTACGGTTTGACAGTAATTGAAATTTGATAAAATAGCTTTATTGCCCTGCTTAGAAAGAAAACAGTCGAATTTTTCTTTTTAAGAACAATTGTGCACTGGTCAAAAGAGATTAAGGAATAAACTTTTTCTTTTATAGTAAATATTCCCCCAAAATGTTTATCGTTCAGCCATTGGATAAAAAGTGCAGTCTCTTAAATTGTATATCTTAAGCTATAAAAGTAACAAATTAATGGAATAAAATTAGACCTATGTTTTGCTCGAAATGTCAAAATTCTTAAATGCAACCCTGAACACTGAATTATTTCCAAATTCAGGCACTCTTTAACTTTTAAAAAGGACTCTGCAAGTTTCTAACAAGCAGGTTCACAAAAGGCATTTCTGGGGGTGCGGCTGGATGAGTGGTAATTCAGTATCCTCAATCCCACTTTACAAACCAGTAGAAGAAACTCCCAGGCCTGAAAGGCTGCAGTGGAATGGTCAAGTCATTTACCACTGAGTCATAGCCAGACAGTCCCTGTCTAGTAAGGAGCCAGGCCGCCTTCCTGGTTTGTGCATGTTGTCCTGTGTGTCCTCTCCTAGAATCAGAGTAATAGTGCCAGTGTCTCAGCCAGAACATCAAGGGATATCAGAAAAGGACAGACTTTACAGATCATAATCCAATGCCCTCATTGCACAAAGAGAAAAAATACTCAGAGAGGTTAAGGAATTTCCCCCAAGGTCACATAAACTAGTTAGGGCAGAGCCAGGCTGGAACCAAGGTCCCGTGTGCTTATCTGTCTCTGGGTGTCTTATCTGTCTCTGGCTCTCTGTCTCTGGCTCGTTCGCTCTGTTATCAGTCATTAAAAATAAGAGCGAAAAGAATGATTTTTTTCCCTTAACGCTGTCTTCACCTAGTGCAATGTTATCGGTTAGTCTTTGACTAAGAATTAAACCATTTGCATTTCTGCATGCCCTGTTGGGTCCCCCACGATAGCTGTAGAGCTCATGTATGCTGAGAACCTTTACTGGGTTGGATTGCTTGAATTTGCTTCTCTTGTGTCCTCAGGTGATGGAAATTGCCTCATGCACGCTGCTTCTCAGTACATGTGGGGTGTTCAGGACACAGACTTGGTCCTGAGGAAGGCACTCTTCAGCACCCTCAAGGAGACGGATACACGCAACTTTAAATTCCGCTGGCAGCTGGAGTCTCTTAAATCTCAGGAATTTGAGGAAACGGGGCTTTGCTATGATACCCGGGTATGATTTGTTCCCCTATTAAGCATCTATTGACAGAACATTATGGTGGGAGATAGGGTACCATAGGCCACCCCCAGCTCTCAGTAGCATATGGTTTACTAGGTCACATGAACTTGGCTAAGCAAAGCGCGTAGTCAATGGAAAACACCAGAAACCTCTTCTGGGATGTACCAGAGTCTTTTGTCACTGCTGGGAGCTTCAGGGCAGCAGATTCCCACCTGTGTGTGAATTTATTTTAGCTGGATCATTCTGCTCCTGGCCTTCCCTGTGGCATTTTGGTTGTTTTTTGGTTTGATTGTCTTTTGCATGCTTTACTGAGCCAGCCAGTCAAATTCAGACCTCACCATTCTCAGTCACAAGTTTGGAATTTTTGTATACATTTGGATGAGGGGTTTCAAGTTATGCCTCATTAGGGATTTTTTTGAAAGCAGGTACTGTCCCTGTCCTCCCCCACTTTTGAGTTTGCCTTGTAGTGGAAAAAGTAAAGGAAGAAACCCCAAATGGGGAAAAAAGTGTGATCATTTGATTTATCATTTCCAGAAAGGGGAAGAGTAAGCTGAATTATATAAATGAATAACTATAGAATGAAGTCAGACTGCTTTTTTAATGCAGAGTACACTCAACTATTTTTTTTTTTTCATCTTTATCCCTCTTCCTTTAGAATTGGAATGATGAATGGGACAACCTTATCAAAATGGCGTCCACAGACACACCAGGGGCCCGCATTGGCCTTCAGTATAATTCACTGGAAGAAATCCACATTTTTGTCCTTTGCAACATCCTCAGAAGGCCGATCATTGTCATTTCAGGTGAGATGCCTGCAGATCACTTATTTGTATTTAAGTGCTTTTCAGCTTTCACACTTTAGCTTTTAGGAAGAACTCACGCTACCAAAGTTAGAGGCAATGGTAGCTCAATGTAATTCGATGAAAGTCACCTGAGGGCCTTATTTTTTCTTTCTTTTTCCTTCAATAGACAAGATGCTGAGAAGTTTGGAATCAGGTTCCAATTTTGCTCCTTTGAAGGTGGGCGGAATTTACTTGCCTCTCCATTGGCCAGCCCAGGAATGCTACAGATACCCCATCGTTCTCGGCTACGACAGCCAACACTTTGTACCCCTGGTGACCCTGAAGGACAGTGGGCCTGGTGAGAAAACATCAACTCACATTCGTAACTGCTGATAGAGACACCTCGTTAGGGCAGAGCCGGTACACCCCATTCCCACGGAACGTCAGGGTTTGCTCTTTTGTTCTTTTGCTCCTTCTTGAAATTGTCTCATTGAAGTGTATTATTTTTATTGAAATACGGTATTCTGTCATTTGCTTGGTTAGCAACAGTAGTGCAATAGCAGTATGATGATACCGCCCCCCTACTTTTTGTGTATGGCTTGGGAAGTACTTTTAGCATGTTAGTTGCAAGTAGAAGATATTTGTATATATTTTACTACCACCATTTCTATTAATACATGACAAATTAAGGCACACAGAGCCCTTAATACAGCGCCTGGCAAGGAGCAGGTAAATGTCAGGTTAGCTGTTATCATAATAGCTTAATATGCAAAAGGCACTTTGTAAATGCTTTAGGTGCATTATTTTATTTCATGTCATCTTCACAGCATCCCTGTGGGCTGCAAACATTGGTAGCCTTATATTACAGATAAGGCACTTGAAGCTCAGAGAAGTTTAATAACTTACCTAATGTCACAGATTTGAAAGTAGCCAAGGCAGCATTCGAACGTGAGTCAGCCTGATTCTGAAGCGTGGGAATTTAACCAATAAGATCCATTGCCTCCAGGCTACTTCGTATTCTGTGGCCTTCCTGGAAACAATGCATTTTATATTAGAGTTTAGTGCAGTTCGTTTCCCCATTTGAGGTTGTGGCTAGATAATACTTTTCTGCTCCAATTGTATCCTTTCTATATTGTCAAATTTTAATCATTATATGCCTAGCCTCACACACAATCTCATTTAGTTGAATCATATTGGGCTTTTGTTTTTCTTCCTCAGAAATCCGTGCTGTTCCACTTGTTAACAGAGAGCAAGGACGATTTGAAGACTTGAAAGTTCACTTTTTGACAGAACCTGAAAAAGTGATGAAGGAAAAGCTGTTGAAAGAGTACTTGATGGTGATAGAAATCCCAGTCCAAGGCTGGGATCATGGCACCACCCATTTGATTAATGCTGCAAAGTAAGCACTTTATTTTTAGCTCTATTCTTTGTCCTTAACTATTTTTAATTAAGCCGCATACGCTGATGCCACCCCAAAGCTCAACAGTAAAGTTATTTGAAGCCAGTTTCCTCCAACATGCATCAAATACAGAGGCCTGTGTATGAGTCAAAGAGGGTCACTTGAGGCGTTACTAACTTTGGTTTCAAATGGAAACAAGTAGTTTATCCATAATGATTCTCCTGCATATCTGGGTGCTGAGAATTTTGGCTTTTAAAAGTATGTTTACGTCAAGGACAGTTGTTTTTCTTAACTGCCGTAGTACCAGACTAACAAGTGAAAATTCTTAGAAACAAAAGCATTTTGCTCTAGGCTTCTTGGTAATGACAGACACACCAGACACAGACTAGGTTGTAGAATGTGTTTATGTGGCAGCCACGTGATTTCATCACCGAGAAAGGGGAGGAAACATCCAGAGTGCACAGCGTACAGCTATCCAAATTTTAAACACTGGTTTTGTGTTAAAGAGATGCCTATTTCTTAGAACTTGAAATGCATGAGATGACTGTGCAGGCATAAAAGAATCAGTTTCCTGAAGTGGAGAGTAACAAATTACAGAGTCAAAAATAAATAACACCTGGGAGTGTGTCTGCCTCTTAGTTACTGTTCAGGGGAGTTAACTCTAATAGAGACCAGGCACCAGTTTAAAATTAATAAGAGCAAAACACAGAACACAGAGCTCCAAAGTGGTTTGTAGCATAAAGTAGACTAGTCCCAAAAGAACTAGAAATTTGATCTCTGAGAAGTTAGAAAGTAAAAGTGACTTTTTAAAAGAGGAATGGAGTCATTAAGTGTAGAGACAGCCTCAGAGTAGCCTTTCTTTGGAATTATACATAATTTGGGGTGGACCAAGACTGATTAAAGAAGACTGTGATTCTTGAAATTGTGAAGTGCTGGGTGGAGCAAACTTCTCATGCTAAGCCTGCATTTCAGTGGCCGATTATAGTTATTGCCAGAATTCATATTCTGAAAGTTTGCTTTATGAGCTAATGATGTACAAATGTTTGTGTGTGTGTGTGAATGTGTGTGTGTGTGCGTGCACGCACGTGTGCATATGTGTAATCTCATATTTTTCCTTTTGGTCTTTAGGTTGGATGAAGCTAACTTACCGAAAGAAATAAACCTGGTGGACGATTACTTTGAACTTGTTCAGCACGAGTACAAGAAGTGGCAGGAGAACAGCAAGCCAGGGCGGAGGGAACTGCACACTCAGAACCCTTTGGAACCTTCTGTTCCCCCACTTTCTCTCATGGATGTAAAATGCGAAACGCCCAACTGTCCTTTCTTCATGTCTGTGAACACCCAGCCTTTGTGCCATGAATGTGCAGAGAGGCGGCAAAAGAACCAGAACAAATCCCCAAAGCTGAACTCCAAGCCGGGCCCTGACGTGGCGCTTGGGGTCTCTCGGGGCGAGGCCTATGAGCCCGTGGCCTGGCGCCCGGAGGAGCCAGCCGGGGGACCTCATTCGGCACCGCCGACAGCACCCAGCCTTTTCCTGTTCAGCGAGACCACCGCTATGAAGTGCAGGAGCCCCGGCTGCCCATTCACGCTGAACGTGCAGCACAACGGGTTTTGTGAGCGTTGCCACAGTGCCCGGAAACTGAATATGGGCCATCCCTCGATCAGCACGAGGCATTTAGATCCTAGCAAGTGCCGAGCATGCCTCCAGGACGTGACCAGGACATTTAATGGGATCTGCAGTACTTGCTTCAAAAGGACTACGGCAGAGCCCTCCTCAAACCTCAGCTCCAGCATCCCTCCTTCCTGTCATCAGAGATCCAAGTCGGACCCGTCACAGCTCACCCAGAGTCCCTCTCCGCATTCTTGCCACAGAGCTGGAAGCGAGGCCCCCTCTGGCTGCCTCTCTCAGGCTGCACGGACTCCAGGAGACAGGACTGGGACGAGCAAGTGCAGAAAAGCCGGCTGCATATATTTTGGGACTCCAGAAAACCAGGGCTTTTGCACGCTGTGTTTCATCGAGTACATAGAAAACAAACGTGAGTGAAAAGATGGCTTTTGTAACCCCCGTTTCGAAACCTGTCTAGAAGGGGTTTCGTTCCTGAACTTCAGGAAAGGAGACCCTCTAGTAAAAAAAAAAAAAAAAAAAAAGACCCTGGAGTAAAATTTCACACAGAGGGACAGTCACAGTGCTCCTGCTAGCCGCACGTGGAAGCAAAAGGCACAGAATACCGTGTTCTAAAACCCAAAAGTGCCCCATAGACAGATTTCATAGAATTTATTTCTGTAGGTCACTCAGTGTTGAGTTTATAAGGTAGAGTTTAAACTAGACTTCTTTTGCAACTTTGGCATAATAGAGAAAATTCAGAATCTGAAGAGCAGCAGCTGGAGAGAGGAAGTCTCCACTGACATTGCAAGAAAACATTTGTGGTTTTTAGAAATCTCTAATTCGAAAGAAGGGCAGGCAGTTCATGTCTCTGTTCTTTTACTGTGACTGACCGGTGAGGCATGTTCAAAAGTGAGAGATTTGTCAAGTCAAAGATGTTTCAATAATAGTATCATTATTATTGTTTTTTTTATTTTGCTGAATTTATAAAAGGCTGCCCAATATATTAGTGAAGGCTGGCCTAATCTGTATTTGGAACCTGTTTTTTTTCTCATGTCATTGTCTCTCTCAGCTTGGTGACTCATATGGGGTACTGATTACCATCAATTTTCTTCTAGATTTTGTTGCTGCCTCAGGGAAAGCCAGTCCCACGGCCTCCAGGTTCCAGAATGCTGTCCCTTGCCTGGGGAGGGAATGTGGCACCCTTGGAAGCACCGTGTTTGAAGGATACTGTCAGAAATGCTTCATCGAAGCTCAGAATCAGAGATTGCACGAAGCAAAAAGGACGGAAGAGCAACTGGTAAGACGTTTTGAGGAACTGTCCTCTCTCCCGTGGGCCAGTCCTCCTTGCTGGAGTTGTTTCTTCCGACTGTGATAAGTAGCCTTTCCTCCCTGCTGAGTTCCAGGGAGAACCTGGGGAAAAAGTCACCTTGGCCCTGGGGCTGGAAGTGCAGCAACTGCTGTTGACTCAAATAACCTAGGTATATTTTAGAATTTGTTTTAAAAAGCAAATAAAACTAGCTGTAGAATAAAACCTCTTAAGAAGCCTTCAGAAGCCAGATGGCAATCGGAGACTTTTTGGATTTGAAGTGGCCAGCAGACTTTCTGTAATAATCCTTTATCAAGAGGAGACAAGAGCAGGATTGGGCCTTGTTAGTACTTGGATGGGAGACTACCTAGGACGATTGTAAGTTGACAAGGTCCTTGCAATCTGTGAGGTCAACCAAGGGTTGCCTCGTTTAATAGATAGATAGATAGATAGATAGATAGATAGATAGATAGATAGATAGATAGATAGATAAATGAGACGAGAGGAGGAGACAGAGCATCCAGGTGCCTCCATGAATGGCATATAAGAAAAGCAAATATTGATAGATGCCTCTCCTGTTGTTTACAGAATGGTAGGGACACTGTCTGAATAATTAAGGGCAGCTAATTAATCCCAACAGCAGTGAGCTGAGCCGGCGTTGGCAGGCCTCTGCGTGAGGACTGGGGATTCCGTTGGCCTCTCTGGGGCCAGGTCTGCTTTTGTGGGATTGGGAGGGTAGTCGACAGCTCCTGCTCTTCAGTTGCACATGCGACTCCGTTCCCTCGGTCAGGCAGTTGCTCTTCACCCCACAGAGCCCTTTGGCATCCACACTGTCCTATGAGATCGCACGGTGCTCTCCCTGAGAGATGTAAATCACAGTTCTCTCTTCTCTTTCTCCTCAGAGGATGAGCCAGCGCAGAGACATGCCTCGAACCACACAGAACGCCTCTAGGCCCAAGTGTGCCCGAGCCTCCTGCAAGAACATCCTGGCCTGCCGCAACGAGGAACTCTGCATGGAGTGCCAGCACCTCGGTCAGCGCGTGGGCCCCGGAGCCCACCGGGGCGAACCTATTCCTGAAGAGCCCCCCAAACAGCACTGCCGGGCCCCCGCCTGCGATCACTTTGGCAACGCCAAGTGCAACGGCTACTGCAACGAATGCTTTCAGTTCAAGCAATTGTACGGCTAACTCAAAACAGGTGAGGCAGCCCCGGCTGTTAGCCAACATGGTGCTACGCTCTATACACTGATGCCTCTGGAGGGCCGTCCCGGCAACCGTGGGCTCCACAGTGTCTTTGAGCAAGAGAGGAAAGATAAGCTCTGCGTCGTGGCCTTGAATTTGGTAACTGGGGAACATTCCCAGGTGGCCTTCACGCAAAACGTGTGATCAGCAACAGATGGTGTCGGAGCCAGCCCGGGGCTGCGCCTTCTCTCCTACCAGAGGAAGGCCAGGACGTTCATGGACTTGGAATGCGTGCCAGGAATCCTTCATCATCTTTTGAGAAAAGGGGAAGGACACACAGTCAGAGCCACTCCACCTGCCTTCCATCGACATTGCTCAGAGATGGGAAGCTGAATCCTCGTGACTCACGGGCCCTCTCCAAGAAGCTCAGGAAGCTCAGGGAAAACAGACGTTTTTCAGAGTGTCAGTGGTTAATGGTTTTTCTCTACCTGCCTCATTCCTTTCTCATGGACTGTGATTCTGAGGCTGCTGAGACTAAGTTCATACCAAAAAGCAAAACAGCTGCTCTTTACAATATGCACCTTGTAAAAAATGACAACGTTTTAGTGGGAAGTTGTGTAACTCTTTTGGTCATCACTGTCTTCACTTCTAAAGAGGTTAGCTAGAACTGAGGTGTGCATAAAAATGTGTACATATATAATGTACCCTTATGTATGAGGGAATTTTTTTTATTAAGTTGAAATGCTGCCCTAGAGGAATAAGGAGACTGCATAATAATGACCTATTTTCTGGTTGTTGCTAGGGCACCACCTATATACACAGCTTTCATGAACTCAGCCTGCTGCTTTGTTAAAGTTCCTGTGTCTGTGGAGTTAACTTTATTTATTTTATTGCAGACTTTAAGGTTATTTAAATGAAGATATTTCTTCTCTGAGGAAAATGCTATAGTGTCTTCTTGAGATAACATATCTGCTCTGGGTCGTGTTATGGAACCAGGCGAGTTCCTCACTGCCGTGGGGGCGTCGGCCTCGCTGATGCACTTTGGTTGCCTTCCCTAGGAAAAAAGGAATCACATCAAGAGTAAATTTATTAAAATCTCATACTTTTTCTTAATGAAATTTCGGACAGAACCACTTCCCAGCCACAATACATGATTGCCTCTGAGTATCCTACCTCCTTAGAGATATGATTGGAAGGCATCAGGGATGAGATTCGAGAAGGTCACAGGGAAAGATGTGGCCATTAATGATAGTTTTATTTGCTGTGTTAATGCTGTGTCCTGGGGTGCTGGGCAGTGTCCTGGCAGCCAGTGAAAACTTAGCATCGAGGACAGCAAAACCCTACAACCATGAGTATGAAGAGATTTCTTTCTGTCCTTGGCCTGTAGTTTCTCCGTGTGCTTTGTGTAACTGTCATACTTGTTGTAGAAAAGAAAGAAAGAAGGGAAAACGCATTGTCCCCAGAGGTAAAAGCTGCCATTTTTGGAGGTCTGGACTTATGACCAGAAAATATTGGCAATCTGTAACTCTAATTAGCTGACGTGTTCTTCACTTGGGGCATCGTAAGTCGTTTCCTCTACATAAACCTTTATAATTTTTTTCTAAAGATTTTAAAGAAACTTCAGTGTTTTCATTAATTCTTTTAAAGTTGACATTTTAATAGTTTGTATCAATATTCTCATTCTTAATGTGAAAAAGTGAAATTATTTATACTTATTATAGAAAATATTTGAAATTTGCACATGTAGTTGTCCCTAGTAGACTTCTGTTTACTATGTTGGATTTCTTCAAGTTTTCCTAAATAATTGTAACTTTTCACAAAAGCAATTATTAAAAAATAAATTATTTAAGAACAAATCTTCATGTTTTCTATTTACGAATGATGAAAGAAAAACGCCTATCGAGTTCCCAAACGACTTTGTTTTAAGGTGCACCTGGGCAGGAGATGCATCTCATCCATGGGTAGTAAGAGAGCTTTGTAAAATAGTAAGTGTGTGACACCGAGGGCCCGATAGGAGTGGGAAAGGCCTGCCAGTTCCATCTCCCATGAGATGCTAGCTCCCTGTGCTCCTCTGAGGGTTCCTACCCTAACCCTTAATAAAGTATAGAAAGAATAAACAAGGGGGAGGAGCAGAGAGAGACAGGAAAGAAAGAGAAATAGGAGGGGAGGAAGGAAGACTAGTGTAAGATTTCCTGGGTCAGCCCTTAGAAGAGGCGACCTATGGCTGTGATGGCCATGAGGACTGACAGCATCCGTGTCCCAGGAAATCTTAAAGTGATATTCTTCAACCCAATACATACGGACCCATAGGGGATTGACTCAGGAGGACTAGGAAGCTCCTGGAATCTTTTTTTTTTTTTAAGTTCCCCAGGAGATTCTGATCATCAGCCAGATTTTAGAACCACACTTTAAAAATTACTTGTAATCTTCTTTCAACTTGTGGGAAATTTTAGCATGCAAGAAAGTAGAGTGTAATGAACCCCCACACATCCGTCATTCAGTTTCAATAATTATCAACATTTTGCCAAATTTATTTCATCTCTAACCCTCCCTTTTTATTTTTTTCTGGATTATTTGAAAGCAAATCCCAGATATTGTGCCCTCACACCCACAAATACATCAATGTGCATCTCTGATTGAAGAATATGTTCTTTTTATGTAACCACCATTATTATACCTCACTAAATTATTTTCGGTATCATTCAATACTAATTATGTATTCTAATCTCTCAGATTGGCCACTATACAAACAGCTTTTGCTTTCGATTGCTTCCATTTCTTAAGGCTCTTTTATTCTGTACGATTCCCTTTTAATTTTTCATGCTATTAATTTGTTAGGGCAACTAGCTCATTTGCTCTGTAGAATAGCCCACATTCTGGATTTGGCTAATTGCTTTCTTATGGTATCATTTAACTTGCTTTTCTACACTTCTTATTAGATTTTGATTCAATTAGGCGAGAATCATTTGCAGATGGTACTGTGTATGCGAGCCCCACTGCACCCCATCCTGTACGAGCTGTATGAACCCTTTGTGGAGGAATCGCAAAGTCTCAAATTGACCTCTTTTTCTTCGTTCTTCCTTATATCTCTCTCAGCTTTAAAAATTACAATTCTTCAATCAGCATAAAGGACATAAGCATTTGACCATAAGTCATCAGGATTTTTTAAATAGGAAGTGACCTATGGTTAGCAAATTATCTCTGACTCAGAAGAATGGCTCCTAGACAGGGAACTGGGGCAGGTTTGGAGCCAATTAGGTCAGGGCTCCAATTTGGAGTCCTGGATAGACTTCTGGGGGTTGGGGACTCTATAAAGCATATGCAAAATTTTATGTTGGGGTGTGTACATTGTTTTTCTGAAGTGGATCCAATCAATGGCTTTCTTCCATCTCAAATAAAATGACGACTTTCCAAAAACCTAAGTATAAGAGGACTGAAAAATAAGACTTAGAAAGAACTGGCTTTGCTTCAGCTTATTTAGATCTTCACTTCCAATGCTGTAGAATGTCACTTTCATACCACACCAGGATGTAAGCTCAATATCCAAAATTAAATTCATTATATAATATCCCTGCCCTCTTTCCATGCTCAGGGAAGAGTATTATCCTCCTAGCCACCTCTAGATTTTCTTCTCCTCCTCCCGCATTCAAACTTCCATGAAATGTATCTTCGAAATGGCTCTCAAATCCATTCCTTCCCCTCTATCCTTCTGCTGCTCTATCTTGGCCTCCTTCTATCTTTTTGCCTCTAGTTTCCCCTTTTAGCCCACTCATTTGCTGTACCTTTACTAGTTACCTGTGCCTGTAAATTATAGATAGACTTGGTGATGCTTCTCCTTTAATTAAAATTCCTTGATGGCTTTTTACTGCTCCCAATGCTGGGTGCATGCAGCCAGGAGATGCAGGAAAAAAAAAAAAAAAAACATGAAACCTCTGAGTTCATTGAGCTAATATTTGATATGAATTACTGCTGGTGTCCTCCCTTTGTCAGCATCAGGGGTCATGGTCACCTGAGTAGCTCTGCAGTAATTGTGAGCTCTCACCACAGCAGGCAGCAGTGGCAACCTCCTTTACTCGCTTCCTGCATAATGGCACAATTACATTTGCCTTATCCCTTTTCATGCGATTTTATTGCCAAAACCGATATAGCTGTGCCACCTATAAACTCTCTTATTTACACTCTTAAACTCAGAAATCAAACTTTCTCATGTTTAAAAATTATCCAAATAAAGAGTTGCAGACTGTTTTGAACCCGTTTATTAGAAATATCAACATATCGATACCTTTCCAACTAATCAACATCAAAGATTGAAATTTACTAGCTGAGTTTCAACAAAAACCTTGTTATAATTGATAGCTGGATGTGAAATGTAATTATTCATAAATAAGGAGACACAGTGATTTTTTTCTTTCTATCCATCTTCTGTTTTTCTATCTTCTGTAGGTGTCATTCCCAGCTCTGACAGTCTTAACAAGAATCACAATAAAGTAAACTTAGAATCAGACTTTGAAATGGCTATATCACAAAGCAATAGATGATGATTTTTTTAAAAAAATAAAGCACATTTACTAATTTTATTATTTCCTATAGAGAGCAAAACATTTTACCATTAATAAAAATAATTATCTTAAAATATTGCTTCATTTATTGTTACCTCAGTGTTTTGAAATTCCTAATGCTTCGTGATTTTTAATATTTTGTGTAATATGATCATATAGTTTAGTTACTTTAAAATAATATATACATATTGCGAATGCATGTTCAAAAATGTTTTAAAAGATGATATGAGATGAAAAGCGTTTAGAGTTCAATTTCCAACATGTTGTGCAATGTTCTTTACAATTCAAACCAACTTAAGTCTTCATTCTTGTCTCTTGCCACTATATTATATCTATCTCATGGTCTTCTAGACAAGTCTTTATTCTTCTGCATTCTCTAGAATAAGACACCTTTTCGGTTTCAGGATCCCTTTGTATTCTTAAAACTTATTAAGGACCCCAGAGAGCTTTTGTTTGTGTGTGTTATATCTATTTATATTTACCATTTTAGAAATTAAAACTAAAAAATATTTCCAAGCACAGAACACACAAGCAAACATTCCATTAGTTTCCAGAATGATGACATCATTCCATGTAATGGAGCCTCTGGAAAACTCCACTGTATACTCATGAGAGACTGAGAACAAGAAAGGCAAATAACACCTTAGTGTTATTATAAACATATTTTTCTACCTCATGGAGTCCCTGACAGAGTCGCAAAGACCTCCAGAGGTCTCCAGACCAAACTTTCAGAACCTCCGCTCTCAAACAATGATCCTAACCCAAGATTCCTATCACCACACCAGTAACACCTGCAGGATGTTTTGAAAATACCCGTGGCCATGCTCTGACTCTGGCCAGTACTTCAGTGCATATTGTAAGTCATGGGCCTGGATAAATTTCGCTGCACCAAGCCCTGGCTGAGAAGATTTTCTATAAACAATGGACTCTGCTTTTTTGACTGTGTGTCCCTACCAGTAAAAATATTTTGAGCATGTACTCCCCAAAGATGTGTTTATTTCTTTATATATACATATTATAATATACATATTACTATATCAGTGTATCTTGTGCTTTGCAAAACATGCAAAAACTTAAGAGATAAAAATTAAATTTAAAAAATTCTACCATTTTCCTGCCAAGCCCCAGTGACTCTTCTGCACGCACCCCAGAGAAAGCTTCTGGAGAACATTCTGAAAATTTCTCTACATCTCTGCCTTATCTTTAAAAGTCTTCTGGTTTCCTCATCTGCCTTCCACTCCCTTCTCTCTTCTCCCTTCACCAGAATCTGGTAGAGTTCCTGCCTTCTGTTCTGCATTCTCCCAGATATCATGGAAAGAGCTCGATATTTTGTAAAAGAAATTATAGGTTCAAACCCCTACCCCACTGCCTGTTAGTTATTCAGACTTGAACAAGTTAACTCATGTCTGAGTCTCAGGTTCCCCATCTGTAAAATGCCCATTAAATGTTTTTAAAAATACATTAGGGAAATTCTTCCCCTCATCCTACAATAAAATGGTTCTCAACCCTGAGGACATATAGAATCCCCTAGAAGTCGTTTAAATCGAGTCCATGCCGAATTTCACTTTTAACTGGCATGGGATGGCACTCTTGGGTATTGAATTTTTTAAGTTCAGGTGAATGTAGTATGCAGCCAGGGTTTAAAATCACTAATAGCCAAAAGAGTACAAACAATTTTCCCAGAGGCAATGAAGAGAAAAGAAACACAATTACACAAATGTACCTAGGGCATTTGAAGAGGGCAGGTAACTTCTTTCAGGTGTTGTCTTCTGCAGGTGATCACCTTGTCATCTGCACCCTCTCTAGGTGGCATTTATTATCATTGTGAGTTTTCTTTGGCATAAAAGTGGCATTAAATCTCCATCTTCCAGAGACAATATCATATTGACCAAGATCAAAGATATGCTACTAAATTGATAATTTACGTGAGAACAACTTACAAGAGAGGTACGAACACTTGCACCCACTGGTCAGTGCACCACCCTCCTCAGAGGCTTATTCCACAGAAATCTCTGTCATCAGGATGCCTAGTGAGCCCAGAATCAGATCTCAGGGAGCTAGCAATGAATGCATTCTTCTGTATATTGGGATAGGACCATCTCCAGGTTCCAACAGGTAAAGTCTTTATTCTGTATACAGCAGGAGTCCTCCAGGATGCTATTGTCTGCATGTGGTGCTTAAATGGACCATGTGCACCTTTGAGACACTACCTGATCTTTGTGCCACCATCTCCATCTCCTGATTGGCCCACTTTCCCCTAATCATGTCAATATCTTCAATTAGGCCACACACTACCT